ATTTATTAAAATGTAAGTGAAATCCTATCACTCCTCTGCTCAACTCCTCCAATGTCAGGCAGAATACACTACATAGTTTAGCTCACAAGGCTCTAGATCAGATTTTATCTTCTAACCTCATCTTCTTCTTTCTCTTGTTAGCTTTCTTTCTTCCGAGCTACATTGATATTTCTGGATCATTCCAAACATTCTTCTGCTTCAAAGTTTTTACAATTTATTTCTTCTCTTTGAAATGGGAATGGCTCACACCTTTGTATCACTCAAATTTGTTCTCAAATGTTCTGTTATGACAGAGGCCTTCCTTGGGTCACCTTGCAGCATGCCACAACACTCTCTTACCTTTTACCGTTACTGCATTTTACTTCACAGCACTTGTCACCAACAACTTTGTTTGTCTATCTCTGCACTAGACATACAGCTCCTTGGGAAACAAGAATTATTTTTGGCTAATTTATAACTTCTTTTTGCAGTACAGGGGATAGATCCCAGGGTCTTGTGCGTGCTAAACAAACTTTATGACTGACTTATATCCCTAGCTCATCATTATTAACTCATTCATACACTCAACACATCTAAAGAAATGGTTTGATAGCCTCATAGGTAAAAGGTCGCAAAACTTATAAAATCCCAAGATCCTCAGGTATTCTATACCCCTAACTCTAAGGCATGTTTGGATTATACCAAGCTATAGTGAGAAATGAAAAATGCCTCAGTTTCATAAGAAACTTGGCATTAGCACAAAGTGCCAAGCATATCAGATCAGAAGGGAAGTTGATAAGAAATTATGAGAGGCTTTGAACTTGATCAGAGTGAAAAACTGATTAGAATCAAGGCAGAATAAATACTCTAAGATAGATCAGTACTACAGCTGTTGGTAGCCCGATCCAGATAAAGTGGTTTGGGGAGGAAGAGGAATTTGTCATCATAAAGTAAAAATTAGGAGGGGTAGAGGAAGAGGTCAGCCTTAGAAGCTATTAAGAATCCCAACTTGGAGAGGGAGGGAAAACCACACCCACTTCAGAAATTAGTCAATGGTATTTTTCTGACCACCTTCTCCTCAGCATTCAGGGATTATAAAAGATTTGGTGGTTCAGGTATTGGGAATAGTGGGGGCAGAGAGCGAGAGTGAGAGAGCAAGTTACATGCAACCGAGGATGACACATGATTAGGAGTGCAAAAACTTCCAGGAAATTGGCTACAAGTTGGTAAAAAAAAATGGGTACATATTTACTTCATGACAGCCTACATTTATGGGCTTAAAGTGGATCATCAATATAACAAAATATATTGGAAGTGGTGCTGTGGCTCAAGTGGTAGAGCACCAGCCTTGAGCTGAAGAGCTGAGGACAGCATGCAGGCCCAGAGTTCAAGCCCCATGACTGACCAAAAAAACAAAAAGAAAAACAAAATATCTGCTCTAGAGAATGGCCCCACCAATCCAATTTTCCATTCAAAGGTTCAATATTGCTGTGATCTCCATTTTTATTCGATCTTTAAATTTTTTAAAAATTTATTTTTCCCTAACTCTTTTAAAACAAGCTTTAATTAGTTATATAAAGGGGTTTAAATTAAACATGCCAATTTATGAGTACAATGCATCTTGACCAATGTCACCCCTTTCTAGAATGGTCCTTGTTCTAAGTTCCTCTTCAGATTTCATCCAGGTCTACTTTTTTTGCTATTCTTTTATTTGTTTACCCATTCATGCTAGAAACACTTATTGATCCCCCCCCCCATCATATGCTTAATAGTTACAGGTGCTTTGATTGTTTCCTTGTAAACAAAACAAAAATTCTCTCCTTCATGAAGGTTACATTTTAACTATACATTTGCACTTTTTGCCCCTACTGACAAAGTCCTAACCCCTCTCTTCAATAATTTCCACTTTTTAAAATGGCTTCCTTCATTGGCACTTAGTCACATTGGCAAATGTCAGCTTAAAATTTTCATTTTCAAAATTATATTGAGTGAAGTAAGCCAGGCCCAAAGAAACATAGGTCCCATGGTTTCCCTTATTTGCAATAACTAGTATATGTTTGAGACAAGCAGAAATGGTCAGATAAGTTGATGTAAAGCAAAATGAACCCCACGATAAGGATTCAAATGGTTTTTCTTTCTGGCTATTGTTTCTAACATATTTATAAGTTTTTTTTGTTGCTTTGTATGTCCCTCCCCCACAGTATAACCCCTGTTTTACTGTATTTGATGTTGGTATAATTTGTGGAGGGGAAGGGAAAAAACAAATTGTTTGAATAGGGATACAGGTAGACTCATTGCAACAATGAGATGTACAAGATGTTATGTTTAAAATGAACTTTACAACATTGGCATGGGGGGGGGAAGGGGGAAGTGGGGGGTGGGGAGAGATGGAAAGGGATGGGAAGGGGAAACAAAGGAGGAAGCAACAATGCTTGATAAGAAATGTACTCATTGCTTGATAAGAAATGTACTCATTATCTTGCCCATGTAATTGTAACCCCTCTGCACAGTATTTTCACAATAAAAAATAAATAAAAATTAAAAAAAAGAAATGTACTCATTACCTTGCCCATGTAATTGTAACCCCTCTCGAGGGTATTTTCACAATAAAAATAGTTTTATTTTCAGCCATATACTAGTTATTGGAAATAAGGGAAACCATGGGACCTATGTTTCTTTGGGCCTGGTTTACTTCACTTACAATAATTTTTTCCAAATCTTTCCATTTCCTAACAAATGGGGCAATGTCATTCTTTCTGGTGAAGGCATAGACTTCAATTGCGTACATATACCACATTTTCTTGATCCATTCATCTACTGAGGGGCATCTGGGTTGGTTCCATATCTTAGCTATGGTAAATAATGCTGCAATAAACATAGTTGTGCTGGTAGCTTTAGTATGGCCTTGTTTGTGTTCACTTGGGTAAATGCCCAAAAATGGGATTGCTGGGTCATAAGGGAGTTCTATGTGGAGTCTTTTGAGGAACCTCCATACTACTTTCCAGAGTGGCTGAAAAAGGTTACACTCCTACCAACAATGCAGTAGGGTTCCCTTCTGTCCACATCCCCTTCAGCATCTGTTGTTATTAGAGTTCTTGATTATAGCTATTCTAACTGGAATGAGGTGGTATCTCAATGTTGTTTTGATTCGCAATTCTTTTATGGCTAGGGAGGTTGAGCATTTTTTCATGTGTCTATTGGCCATTCTTACTTCCTCTTCAGAAAAGTTCTCTTTAAGTCTTTAGCCCACTTACTTATTGGGCAGTTGTTTCTTTGAGGATTTGTTGTTGGGAGATTTAATTTTTTTGTGTTCCAAGTATATTTTAGATGAGACCCTTGTCTGTTGTATGGCTACTGAAGATGTTCTCCCAATCTGTGGGCTTTCTACTAATCTTGCTATCTATGTACTTTGCCATGCAGAAGCTCTGGAGCTTCATGCAATCCCATTTGTCCAACCTTTCTTTGATTTGTTGTGTTTCTGGGTCTCTATTAAGAAAATGTTGGCCTGTGCCAAGGAGCCCTAGAACTTCTCCTCTTCCTTCCAGTAATGTTTTCAGAGTGTCTGCTTTGACTCTGAGGTCTTTGATCCATTTGGAGTTGATTCTGGTACAGGGTGATATATAAGGATTTAGCTTTATTTTTCTACAGGTGATTAATTTTGCTAGCACCATTTACTGAAGAGGCTATCTTTCTTCCATTCTATTTTTTTAGCTCCCTTATCAAAGATTAGTCTAAGGCTGGGACAAGCAGAAAAGCTCAGACAAGATGATGTTAAGTGAAATGAACCCTAAATTGGGACACAAGTGGTTTTTTCTTCCTTGATATTGTTTCTAAGGTAGCATGTGATTGTTTTGTTGCTTTGTATGTCCCTCCCCCATGGTATAACCCCTGTTTTAACTGTATTTGATGTTGGTATAATTTGGGGAGGAAGGGAAAAAACAAAATGTTTAAATAGGGATACAGTTTGACCCATTGCAACAATGAGATGTACAAGACGCTATGTCGAAAAACAAACTTTACAATTTAGGTGTGGGTGAGGGATGTAGTTGAGGAGGTGGGAGGGACGGGTTGGGAGAGGAAAAACAAAGTAGTAGGCAACAATGCTAGATAAGAAATGTACTAATTACCTTGCTCATGTAACTATAAACCCCTGTACAGTATTTTCAGAATAAAAAATTTATTTAAAAAGTTTTATTTTCAGCATAAAATGATATTGCTTTGTAACCCCCTCTAGAAACATTTCATTGGCAGATGTATTCAGATATATGCCATCTTTGAATCCAGATGGCATTGCAGCAGCCCAGAGCTATACATTCTAGAAACTTCAATGGGGTAGCATTCTCTTAATTGACAGACTAATATTGAAACAGAGTGATTCAAAGATCCTGCCCAGGAGCTAACTCAACATTTTATGGTATCCCACAGAATATACTAGTAATTAACTCAAAGCTATTACATCCATAATAGGGATGGTTTTCATTGGTGTGCCACTATTTAGCTGAAGGGGAGTGAACATCACCATTGTATACTATAAATACCAAAGTGAGCCAAATACTGGGCTGGATTCTAGGGTTACAAGAAGGGAAATTAGTATTTGCCTTCAAGGAACTTACACACTAGTTTTAGAAACTTGAGTTCAGATTTTGAAAGAGTGGCAGATATCACCATTGACATGATTATCATTGGATTTGACATATAAAAGCCAGATATTGAAAATCTCCAAAGGTAGAACTAAATCCATAAAAAATATTCAGGGTCTATAGAAGAGAGGTAATCTTTATGGAAGGTGACTTTGAGAGTCACAAATGATGTCATAGCCTTCAAAAATATTAAGAAAGAACTGAAGCTATGTGGAGTAGGAAGTAGGAGGATGCTTGCCGAATTGATTCTATATCAAAAGACCGATTGAGGCTGGAGAAATCTTACATGACCTTGAACCTCTGAATAATATATGAGATGATAAAGTGCATTTGTTATTAAAAAAACTCAAAAGTGATAAAGGATCATTTGGTTAGACTTACCGTCTGTACCTTCACTGCTTTTGCTTCTTTTATTGCGGCGAACACGCCTATTTTCCTCTTCAGAGTATGATTTTTCATCAGGGAAGAAGAAATTCATCAGGGCCATCTGTAAAAATAATAATAAAATGAGTCCAAGTTTGACCCCAGTTAGCTATAAGCCAATGCTTACAGAACAAACTAGCTTTCAACAGATGGTCTACCTTTTCCTTAATTTCAAGAAGTTTAGAGCCTGAGCCCATGTTCCCCTCAGTGTACAAATGCTTCTATTACATTTTTCCCCTGTGCCAGTACTGGGGCTGGAACTCAGAGAAGGGGCACTGTCCTTACCTCTTTCACTAATGGCTACTGTTCTACTATGTGAGCTTCTTTCTTTTGGTGGTTAAGTGGAGATAAGTCTCATAGAGGATAGAACTGTGGTCCTCAGGTCTCAGCCTCAATTAGCTAGGATTACAGGTGTGAGCCACTGACACCTGACTAGATGCTTTTATTACTTATATCACTACTATGCCAAGCATATAAGCACAGAATTTTGGTTAATCACTGTGTCCTCTCTCTCTTCTTCCATAGTATCTAATAAAAAATATATCAGGTCACATTTACCCATAAAATTCTGGGGTTCATTCTTAAATGAACTAGAGGAAGCAATCCAAAATTTCATATGGAACAATAAAAGACCCCAAATAGCAAAAACAATCCTTAGCAGAAAGAACAGTACTGGAGGAATATCAATATCAAATTTCAAACTCTACTACAATCCCCCAACAACAAATTCTTAAAGAAACAACTACCCAATAAATAAGTGGGCTAAAGACTTAAAGAGAAACTTCTCTGAAGAGGAAAGAAGGATGGCCAATAGACACATGAAGAAATGCTCAACCTCCCTAGCCATAAAAGAAATGCAAATCAAAACAACATTAAGATACCACCTCACCCCAGTTAGAATGGTAAAAATCAAGATCTCTAATAACAACAGATGCTGGAGGGTATGTGGACAGAAGAGAACCCTACTGCATTGTTGGTGGGAGTGTAAACTTGTTCAACCACTTTGGAAAGTAGTATGGAGGTTCCTCAAAAGACTCCACATAGAGCTCCCCTATGACCCAGCAATCCCACTTTTGAGCATTTACTCAGTCACAAACAAGGCCATACTAAGGCTACCAGCACAACTATGTTTATTGCAGCATTATTTACCATAGCTAAGATATGGAACCAACCCAGATGCCCCTCAGTAGATGAATGGATCAAGAAAATGTGGTATATATACACAATGGAATTCTATGCCTCCATCAGAAAGAATGACATTGCCCCATTTGTTAGGAAATAGAAAGACTTGGAAAAAATTATTTTAAGTGAAGTAAGCTAGGTCTAAAGAAACCTAAGTCCCATGGTTTCCTTTATTTGCAATTACTAGTATATGTCTGAGACAAGCAGAAATTGTCAGATAAGTTGATGTTAGGCCAAATGAACCCCAAGATAAGGATTCAAATGTTTTTTTCTTTTTTGTATTTGTTTCTAACACATTTATAAGATGATTTCTTTGTTGCTTTGTATGTCCCTCCCCCACGATATAAACCCTGTTTGCACTGTATTTGATGTTGGTAGACTTTGTGGAGGGGAAGGGAAAAAAGAAATGTTTAACTAGGGATACATGTGAAACCATTGTAACAATGAGATATACAAGTTGTTATGCGGAAAAACGAACTTGACAACTTTGGCCAGGAGTGGGGTGGTGGGGGGAGGGGGGAGAAGGGTGGGTATGGGAAGGGATGGGAAGGGGAAACAAAGGAGGAGGCAACAACGCTTGATAAGAAATGTATTTTACTCATTACCTTGCCCATGTAATTGTAACCCCTCTGTACGGTATTTTCACAATAAAAAATAGTAAAAGAACAAAAGAAAACAAAACTCTACTACAAAGCCATAGTAATTAAAACAGCTTGGTACTGGCACAAGAACAGACCTGAGGACCAATGAATAGAACTGAAGACACAGAAATGAACCCACAGACCAATAGCCACGTAATCTTCAATAAGGGGGAGAAAAAAATAGAATGGAAGAAAGAGCCTTTTCATTAAATGGTGCTGGAAAAATTGGTTAAACACCTGTAGAAAACTAGATCCTTATATATCTCCCTGCACCAGAATCAACTCCAAATGGATCAAAGACCTTGAAGTCAAAGGAGACACCCTGAAAACATTACAGGAAGGAAGAGGAGAAGCTCTAGGGCTCCTTGGCACAGGCCAACATTTTCTTAATAGAGACCCAGAAACACAACAAATTAAAGAAAGGTTGGACAAATGGGATTGCATGAAGCTCCAGAGCTTCTGCATGGCAAAGGACATAGGTAGCAAGATCAATAGAAAGCCCACTGATTGGGAAAATATCTTCAGTAGCCATACAACAGACAAGGGTCTCATATCTAAAATATACTTAGAATTCAAAAAATCAAAAAGTTAAATCCTCCATTAGCAAATCACCAAAGAAACAACCACCCCATTAATAAGTGAGCTAAAGATCTAAAGAGAGACTTCTCTAAAGAGGGAATAAGAATGGCCAGTAGACACATGAAGACATGCTCAACTTCTCTGGCCATAAAAGAAATGCAAATCAAACAACACTGATATTCCACCTTACTCCAGTTAGAATGGCTATAATCAAGAAATCTAACAACAACTGATGCTGGAGGGGAGGAGGCCAAAAGGCAACCCTAGTGCATTGCTGGTGGGAATGTAAACTTTTTCGATCACTCTGGAAAGCAGCATGGAGATTCCTCAAAAAATTACACATAGAGCTCCCTTATAACCCAGCAATCCCACTTTTGGGCATTTACCCAAATGAACACAAATAAGGCCAGACTAAAGCAACCAGTACAATTATGTTTATCACAGTATTATTCACCATAGCTAAGATCTGGAACCAACCCAGATGCCCCTCAGTAGATGAATGGATCAAGAAAATGTGGCATATATACACAATGGAATTCTATGTCTCCATCAGAAAGAATGATATTGCCCCATTAGTTAGAGACTTGGAGAAAATTATATTAAGTGAAGTAAGCCGGGCCCAAGGAAACATAGGTTCCATGGTTTCTCTTATTTGCAGTAACTAGTATATGTCTAGGACAAGCAGAAAAGGGAAAATTAAACTATGTACATATGACCATATAAGATGATGCTAAGTGAAATGAACCCCAAGATAGGGACACAAGAGTTTTTATCTTTCTTGCTGCTCCTTTTTAACGTACTTATGTGATTTTTTTGTTTCTTTTGTATGTTCTTCCCCCATGGTATAACCCCTGTTGTCACTGTATTTGATTCTGGTACCCTGCATCTTGTATACACATTTTTCTAATTTGGGAAGGGGAAGGGAAATAACAAAATGCTGCAACAAGGACACAGATTGACCAATTGTATCAATGAGATGTACAAGACACTATGTTGAAAAGGAACTTTACAACTTTGGGGGAGAGGGAGGACTTGGGGAGGTGAGGAAGGAAGGGATGGTGGGGAAAAACAAAGGAGTAGGTTACAATGCTCGACAGGAAATGTACTCATTACCTTACTCATGCAACTGTAAACCCTCTGTACAGTATCTTTACAATAAAAAATATATATTAAAAAAGACTATGACCCAGCAATCCCATTTCTGAGCATTTATCCAAATGACCACAAACAATGCCACACTAAATCTACCATCACATCTATGTTTAGCGCAGCATTATTTACCATACCTAAGATATGGAAGAAACACAGATCCCCCTTAGTAGAAGAATGAAGAAAATGTGATACACACACACACACACACACACACACACACAGGAATTTTATGCTTCCATTAGAAAGAATGACACTGCCCCATTTGTAAGGAAATGGGAAGACTTGGGGAAAAAATCATGCTAAGTAAAGTAAGCCCGACTCAAAGAAACCTAGGTCCCATGGTTTCCCTTATTTGTAATAATTAGTATACAGCTAGGATAATCTTAGCAGATGGGCAGAATACCTCAATAGCTATGTACATACGATGGTATAAGATGATGCTAAGCAAAATGAACTACAAGACATAGACACAAGAGGTTTTGCTTTGTTATTATTCTCAATATACTATGTGATTTTTTCTTTTTGTGTTTTATCCCCTATGGTATATCCTTTGTTGTCCCTGTATTCAATTTTGGTACCCTGGGTATTGTATATATGTTTATCTGAACTAGGGAAGGGAAGGGGAACAACAAAATGGTGAGACAAAGGACAAAGTGGTTGGAACCTATGTAACAGCAATAACCACAAGGAAGTATGTTGGATATGATCCTTATAACTTAGGGGGGTATTGGAGGGGCAAAGAAGGAGAAAAATGAGGGAGGGTGCAACAAGTTGGACAAGAAATGTAATCACTACCTTACTTATGTAACTGTAACCCCTCTGTACATCACCTTGACAATAAAATTTTAAAAAATTCTGGGGTTCAGAGGGACCCAGTCACAATTTTCTTATTTCTATTTACACTGACAAATGTCAGCTTAAAAATCTCATTTTCATCTTTGTAAAATCATACTGCTTTTTGACCCCTCCAGACACATTTCATTGGCAGATATTGCCAGACACATGCTGTGTTTGATGCCTACTCAGAACTAGCCTTGTGTTTGTTAGTCCCACTTGAACTTCATTATTATACAGTTCTGATTTTACCCCATTCCTGTTTATGCTGTACTTTGGTTGTTTCTACAGTGCTGATCATCCAACATGTGTATGGATTCTCTTGGGGAAGTTAGTCATGACAAAGAACAAAATTATTCTCTCCCTTTCCTAGTCTCTTGAAGCACTAATGGTCTATAAGACTCAATTTGGTCCACTGAAAAATATTCCATATTTTGTCAAATAGTTTTAAAAGAAAAAATTAAGCTTGCTCATCCTCAAAAACTAAGTGGGCATATGATAATATATTTGAATAAAATGAGGCTGAAAAATTGAAAGTCAGATGTTGACAGTTGATTATCTTATGTATTATAGGCATCCCTCATAATAATACAATATTTCATTTGTGAATGGGTTTGGTTCATGAACAATAATCATAGCTTAAACATATACCTGTTGAATTGAATCAAGATTTTTC